GGGCTGGTGTAGCAGTGGGGGGGGGGACGACAGACTGGGATTGAGGGGCACCGGCAGAGCTGGGGGGAGCCCAGGGCTGGTGTAGCAGTGGGGGGGGGACACAGACTGGGATTGAGGGGCACCGGCAGAGCTCCACAGCAGAGACCCAGTCCATGCTCTGCCTGCCTCCCGCTAGCATGACCCTCCCATCCCTGAGCTTGGCTCTAGTGAGTGGCAGTGCCCAGGTCTCCGTTCTCGAGGGCACTGGGGGGACACACACCTGCCACTCTGGGGACTTGGAGTAGGAGAGGGTCTCGCTGCTCAGCCAGAAGTAGCGTTTCTTGAAGGTGAAGCGCGGGAGCAGGTGGAGCCCCTCGGCCTTGCGCTTGTGCAGGTAGCCCTCCTTGATGGTGACCGAGGGGTGGAAGAGCGTCCGGGGCTGGGCCTTGCCCGCTGTGTGGAGAAGAGAGTGGGGTTACCCCGTCCGTCTGCCTGGTGAAACTCCAGCACCTGCACCAGGCCAGGTTTTGCCTGACAACGACCCCCCTGGACCCAGGGAGAGGTGTGCTCTGGTGCCTACATGCTGGGGAAGCCAGGGTCTGCATCACTTCCCCACCCCAGGCCAGGGCCATGACCCACAGTCAATGCCGGGCTCCCTCTGGGCAGACCCAGGCTAAATGAGTGGGAGGCTGGATTCTCTGCCCAGCCCAGAGGAGAGCGAGCCCTGGCCAAGCACAGGGAGAGGGGCTGCCCCCCAGCCCCCCCCCAGGGGGCCGAGTGATCTGCCCCTGCAGCACCCCCAGCCCCCAACCAAGAGCGCGGCCATTTCTGCAGTCAGTCATTGACCCCAATCATAGCGGGCCTGGCGCGCAGTAGCCGTGGAGCTGGGGTACGGGCTGCCCTTGCAGGAGGGGCTGCTGAGACCCGAGGCACACACAGGAATCATTCAGGGCAGTTTGGTCACTTGGATCCACACTCGTCCTGGAAACCCCCTTGTCCCCGGGCCCCCAGAGCCAGGCTTAATGGCAGGAATGGCCCATTCTCCAATGGCCGAAGCACACACAGTGTTCCCCAGAAGGGGGCGCCATTTCCCTGCTGATCCCAGCCCTCCACACAGGACTCTCCACAAAGCTCTGCATTTTAATTAGTAATCAGGGGCAGGGAGAGCGGTGCCCATCTCACCCCTTGCCCGGGCTGGCTCTCCTGGGAGTCAATCGCAGGGGATTTCAGCTGCTCTGCTTCCAAACGGGCCCAGCAAGTCTGGGGGGCACAAACACATGAGCTGGCCAAGCTTTTCCAACCCAGGCAGTGCTCCCAGCGTCAGATCAGTGTGGGGCGCTTCCAGTCTCAGCCTAACCTGCCCCCGCAGGGCTACAAGGGCACAACGGAGCCTCTGCAGAAGCCCTAAGGAAAGGGTCCAGCCTGGCCCAGTCAGAAGGGGAAGCTGCTGAATGGAAAGGAGCAAAGGCAGATCTGGCACTGACTGGGACCTGTGGGGCACCTAATGACACCAGGGTGAGCTGGGTGTGCCAGGACAGCAGGGGCGAGGCTGGGTGTGCCAGGACAGCAGGGGCGAGGCTGGGTGTGCCAGGACACCAGGGTGAGTGGGGTGTGCCAGGACAGCAGGGGCGAGGCTGGGTGTGCCAGGACAGCAGGGTGAGCTGGGTGTGCCAGGACAGCAGGGGCGAGGCTGGGTGTGCCAGGACACCAGGGTGAGCGGGGTGTGCCAGGACAGCAGGGGCGAGGCTGGGTGTGCCAGGACAGCAGGGTGAGCTGGGTGTGCCAGGACACCAGGGTGAGCTGGGTGTGCCAGGACAGCAGGGGCGAGGCTGGGAGTGAGGGGCAGCGGCAGAGCTGGCGGGACTCAGAGCTGCAGTCTGGCTCCTCTAATGGCCTGACTCAAAGTCCAGGGAGTCGTTCCCCTGACTGTGGGTTTGGGCTGAGGGCCCAGGTGTGCTGTACGGGATGGAGAATGGGCTGGCTCTGGTCCTTCAACGTCCTCCCTGCCCACAACGCCTGCCCGCTGTGCTCACCCCTGGTGCTGCACAACTCCCTGTTCTGCACCAGCCAGGCCATGGCCAGCCCGCGAGCGCCCTGCATGGTTAGACTGTCAGCTGGCCTTGGTGCAGAGCTGGGACTGAACTGTGCTTAGCTGTGCCACAGGGACTCTGCCGCTGGGCTGGGCTTTGGAACCTGGCTAAGACACTTGGGTCCTGTCCGGTCCGGGCTGAGGCCAGCCACGTTAGGAGAGCAGCAGCCCTGAGGTAAGAAGCAGAAAGTCTCATCCTCACATTCCATCTAAATTGCATCAAAACAATGTCCTATTGGGCTGTTACGGAGGCTCCCGTCCCAATAGTGCCCAGCATCACCAGAGAAAGAAACAGATCGTAAGACGTTTAGGGAGGACGTTGTTTGACAGCATTCTGTCTGGCAAGGAATCGCCTAACAGCTGTGATTGTGAAATCTATCCTTCGATTGTTTTGCCTTCATGGTGCCTGCTTCTCTATTGTTTATCTGGCTGGTTCTTTGATCGTTTCTGCCTGTTGCAGCATTAATTTTGCAAGATTTAAATAAGCTCAGGTGGTGGGGGTGGTTGGGTGAAGAGTGGTTTGGTAATGGGCTGGGCTGGGTGAAAAATGCTGGTTTGCAGGACTTTCGTTTACAACGGCTGGTGACGGTAGAGCTAAGCAGGACTCAAGTTTCACTATAATAACTGGGGTCCAAAAGGAATTTCTCGAGGCTCCAGGGCACAGCCCACGATCAGAGCTGCCAGATCTCAACACCCTGCCAACTACATCGTGCAGAAGCTGGGGTCTCTGGAGGACCTGATCCTGGCTGGCCACTAGGAAAAGGCCGTCTGATTATGGGGAGTGGTGAGCACTGTGTGCTTAGCGTGTGTGTTCTGCTTAGGTAACTGTTAATAGCGGTTAAGGATATTACTGCGTAAGGCTCTTTCACTGGTAAAAGGCCCCGCAAACCCACAGAAGATTACACCCGGAGCCCTAGGAACTGGGTATGGGTGGCCTGGAGCCCTAGGAACTGGGAAAGTGTGGAGGTGCCTAAATTAACCGTTACACCTTGTAAAGGTGGGGTGCTGGAGAGTGTGCAGGTACCAGCGCCCGCTGCAAGATCAGCCCATGCCCTCCCCATGCCCAGCGCTATCGTGTTGTGTCCGGGGCCCATGACACAGGAGCTGTTCGTAGCACGGACAGGGCCCCAGATGACTGGGAGTTGCATGGCTGGGGCGGCATGTGAGGCCGTGGTAACTCAGTTGATCTCTAGAGGAAGCAGCTGGTCTCCTGGTACCCAAGGGTCCCCCCCTCCGGGGACAGGCAGAGAATCCAGCCTCCATGCTCATTGAATCCTGGATCAGTCCCTCACAGTGTTCTCCTTCTAGCCCCCGCCCTGCCCCCCACGCCATGCTCAGTCTGAGAGACAAGCTGTGCCCACCAATCCTGGAGGATGCTCCCTAACCCCCCCCATGGCCCTGGGGACCCCAGACCCTGCACTGGGGGGCAGGGAACATGGAGAGAGCAGATGATTTCTAGCCATCACCTTCCTCACTGTCTGGCAACAACTGCTGATTTGAATCCCCTTTAAATACCAAACGAGCAGGGAACTGGTGAGAAACACCATCAAGGGCTGCACACTCCGGGCTCCATCCTGAGGAGTGCTGAGTACCCGGCCACTCCCACTGACATCCACCCCAGGTGCTTGGCGCTGCTCAGCCCAAGCCTTTCGCCGCTGACAGCACAGGGTGGCAGGGTCTGGGTGGAAACTCAGTTCCCTCCTTCCTCAGGGGCAAGGCGGAGGGGGGGGCAAGGGGCAGGAAGCGGTGGCTGCCCCAGGGAGGGCGAGGACTGAGGGCCCTGCGTGCGGCAGCATGGAGATGGAATCCCCCTTCCCAAGGCTACAGTGCCAGCGCTCTCGCTCCAGGACAGACCAGCGGCTCCTCCGGGTCACAGGCCGTGGCTGCGCGGCAAGAAGACGGCAAGGGACTGGGCTCCTGAACAGCTGTGGGATCTGAGAGAGGGACCCTCCCAGTCCAGGGCCCTGCATGCGCTCATCCCCCTCCAGAGACTGGACAGCAGCTAGCAAGGCTCCCTGCCCTAACTCCTCTGGGGCAGCCCCCTGCACACCCTGACAGTCACCACAGCTCTGCTCCAGCCTCCCGGCCGAGCCCCTCTCTGCTCTTCCCCTGCCCACGCCGGAGCGAGCCCGGCAGACTCACCCACTTTGACGGCTACATTATGCAGCTGTCATATGGGATCGAGTCAGCGCACTGAGCTGGGGGAGCAGCTCCCAGCCATGGCCGCACTGGACACATTGCAAGAAACAGCCCACTCCCACACCTCGCCCGGGGGCCCAGACCACCTCCCCTTCCCTCTGGCTGGAGATGGGGGCTGTCTCTCCCGCACTGAAGCGCAGGGATGGGACACCAAAGGGGCAATGGTGCTGGAGCTGAGTGTGGGCTGGAGACGCTGCCTAGGACGCCCTGAACCCTTCCAAGGTTTGGCGCAGAGCCGGCAGGACTGAGGGATGTGAGGGGCCGGACGATCAGCTGGGTGTCAGTTTGACGTATCTTGTCATGACATCCTGCCAGTCACACGCGAGAGATGGTCGCCTCTTTGCCCCGCTAGTGCAGTGATTGTGCTCCAGCCCCATCGCACCCGCTTCCAGCAAACACTCGACTGACCGAGCTTCGAGGCAAAGAAACGTTTCCATGGTTGTCCAGTCAGAGAGCAGAAACACCGCCATGTGCCTGACCTGACCAATGGCGACAGACGCACAGCTTAGCTTGTAAACTGATTGGACAGAGGATTCGGAATTCAGGGGCCAGCTCCACCAAGGGATTTAGGGTCCTACAGATTCCATGGAAGAAGGAGTTTAACAACTTTGGTGGCTGTGGCTGGGGGATGGGAGGGACGCCCTGTCTGCTCCCAAAGGTGCTGCCGGCACCCGACTGCCCAGCTGCGGTCGCGATGCGGCTTCGGGGAGCTGAGGCCACTGCTCTGTGGCGTGACTTCCCCGCTGCCTGAGACAGGTTGGCATAGGCCCCACATCCCTCTCCCTTTGCCCGCTGGTGGCACCCAGAGGCACCACCCGGGCCGGAGCCCCCTTGTGCTGAGTGCCACCTTCTTTGCATCCGGCAGCATCAATACTTGCAGCAAGCCCAGGGCAGGAAAGGGGGCGGCCTGAGCCCAGTGCATCAGAGACTCACCACTCTCGCTGTCCACGTCGATGAGCTTGTCCAGGAAATCCTTGACACGGGTGATGCTGGGAAGGATGAAGGGGTGCAGCGGAGCCATCCACTGCTCCTTGCCATGTCCCAGCTGCAGGCCGAGGTTGCCAATGCTCTGCACTGCCTGCCAGGGAGAGGAGCAGCGAGGGGGGTCACAGTGCAGCCACGGGATCTGCAGGACGTCTCTCCAGCCTGGCTCAAGCCCCACCAGGGCTTTGGACCCTTTGCTGGACAGGGTCAGTACCATCCCAGGCCACGAGCATCCCAGGGAAAACCAGGCCAGTGGCTACTGGAATGGAGATGATCAGATGCCATCTATGCTGCCTTCCCTTTGCCTGTATATTGCCCTTGGGACAGGGACCTGCCTGCCTGGCACAGGCTCTGAGTAGTACAGACTAGCCAAGAACTGGCATGCAGTGTCTTAGAGGTGGAAAATTTGGGGAGATGTTCACCACCCCTCCCCCTGCCTCCTCTCGGACCCCCAGCAGAGCAAAAGGAAAGGGGAGTAGGGGAGGTTTTGGGTGGGACGCAGGGAGGGTCTGGGCAGCTTGGAAGCAGGAGAGAGAGAGAGGTAGGATCTGATGAGAAACAGTCAAATGAAAAGAAGTCCCATTCAATTACATCATGTAATGGCAGACAGCTAAAAAGTGACAAGTTTTTAAAGTGCTTATATACCAATGCTAGAAGTCTAAATAATAAGATGGCTGAACTTGAGTGCCTTGTATTAAATGAGGATATTGATATAACAGGTATCACAGAAACTTGGTGGAATGAGGATAATCAATGGGACTCAGTAATACCAGGGTACAAAATATATTGGAAGGACAGAACAGGTCGTGCGGGGTGGGAGTGGCACTATATGTGAAAGAAAGCGTAGAATCAAATGAAGTAAAAATCTTAAATGAACCAAACTGTCCCATAGAAGCTCTATGGATAGTAATTCCATGCTCTAATAATAAGAATATAGCAGTAGGGATATATTACCAACCACCTGGCCAGGATGATGATAGTGACTGTGAAATGCTCAGGGAGATTAGAGAGGCTATTAAAATAAAAAACTCAATAATAATGGGGGATTTCAGTTATCCCTATATTGACTGGATACATGTCACCTCAGGACGGGATGCAGAGATAAAGTTTCTTGACACCTTAAATGACTGCTTCTTGGAGCAGCCAGTCCTGGAACCCACAAGAGGACAGACAATTCTTGATTTAGTCCTAAGTGGAGCACAGGATCAGGTCCAAGAGGTGAATATAGCTGGACCACTTTGTAATAGTGACCATAATATAATTACATTTAACATCCCTGTGGTGGGGAAAACACCACAGCAGCCCAACACTGTAGCATTTAATTTCAGAAAGGGGAACTACACAAAAATGAGGACGTTAGTTAAACAGAAATTAAAAGGTACAGCGCAAAAAATGAAATCCCTGCAAGCTGCATGGAAACTTTTTAAAGACATCATAATAGAGGCTCAACTTAAATGTATCCCCCAAATTAAACAACATAGTACGAGAACCAAAAATGTGCCACCGTGGCTAAACAACAAAGTAAAAGAAGCAGTGAGAGGCAAAAAGGCATCCTTTAAAAAGTGGACGTTAAATCCTAGTGAGGAAAATAGAAAGGGGCATAAACACTGGCAAATGAAGTGTAAAAATACAATTAGGAAGGTCAAAAAAGAATTTGAAGAACAGCTAGCCAAAGACTCAAAATTTATAGCAAAAAACTTTTTAAGTACGTCAGAAGCAGGAAGCCTGCTAAACAACCAGTGAGGCCACTGGACGACCGAGATGCTAAAGGAGCACTCAAGGGTGATAAGGCCATTGCAGAGAAACTAAATGAATTCTTTGCATCAGTCTTGATGGCTGAGGATGTGAGGGAGATTCCCAAACCTGAGCCATTCTTTTTAGGTGACAGATCTGAGGAACTGTCCCAGATTGAGGTGTCATTAGAGGAGGTTTTGGAACAAATTAATAAACTAAACAGTAATAAGTCACCAGGACCAGATAGTATTCACCCAAGAGTTCTGAAGGAACTCAGATGTGAAATTGTAGAACTACTAACCTATCATTTAAACCAGCTTCTTTACCAGATGACTAGAGGATAACTAATGTGACGCCAATTTTTAACAATTACAGGCCGGTAAGCCTGACTTCAGTACCAAGCAGGGAGAAGTGGAAGTCCTGGCACAGTCAGGGAACTATGATGTGATTGGAATAACAGAGACTTGGTGGGATAACTCACATGACTGGAGTACTGTCATGGATGGATATAAACTGTTCAGGAAGGACAGGCAGGGCAGAAAAGGTGGGGGAGTTGCGTTGTATGTAAGAGAGGAGTATGACTGCTCAGAGCTCCGGTATGAAACTGCAGAAAAACCTGAGAGTCTCTGGATAAAGTTGAGAAGTGTGAGCAACAAGGGTGATGTCGTGGTGGGAGTCTGCTATAGACCACCAGACCAGGGGGATGAGGTGGATGAGGCTTTCTTCTGGCAACTAGTAGAAGTTTCTGTGTCGCAGGCCCTGTGTCTCATGGGAGACCTGACTTTAAATGATATCTGCTGGGAGTGCAA